GATGTGATTTTATAAAAACCATAGTATTTAGATATGGTTTGATTTATAATCGATTAAACTGAAACATGTAAATATGTATATATTTATAACGACGCATGAATATCTATTTGTTTCATGAGTTGAACTATAATTATAATTTGTAAATAGCTAACAATTTATTACAACTAAGACTTCTTATTTTGATCTTTTGCTTTTTTAACAGTAACTAAATTGAAGTAAAGATTATAAATTTGATGGACAACAATTAGTTGAAATTATTTACAATTTTTTTTATCTTTAAACAAACAGAGTTGTGTTCAATCGAAGACATATTGGTTTGATGAACACTAAATATGGAAGAATATAAAAACTTTTCTTTCATGCTTCTGTTTTGTTTTGTTATTTTTATTTTCAAAATTTAGTGTTTTGATATTAATTCTAGATTTGATCATTTTATTAGATGATAGAAGCCTTTTTTGTTTTTTATTCTTTTATTTAAATATATAATATTTTTTAATAAATGACTGTGTGACAATATGACTCTAAATATGATCATATTATATATTATGTTTTTGGTATAAAGTTGAATAAACTGAAAACCGATGGTATATAAACCAAATCAAACTAAAGTACATATAGATTTAGAATAGTTATTATATTTTAATGATCGAAATACCAAAAAAACGAGCCGAACCGAAACCCGATATCCGGATTGAACACCTCTAATCCGAATGAAACCGAACTATTGTTTCATTTTTAAAAACATAATAAAAATAATAGTTTCATCCCGCGCAAGGCGCGGGTCTTATCCTAGTAATGTAGTATTTTACTAATTGTGTAAGCTATTTTATTTCAATTGTTAGTATTTCTTTCTCTCTCGTTGGCGGTGCATAAATAAAATATATTTATTGAATTTAATTCGGTTTCAGTAATTCGACTGAAAAATTAGAAGGTGGTTTGATCATTTTTAAAAGACAGAATGATGCTTAATGCTAATATATATATTCTCCCTATGATGTGAGAATTTTACTTTTTAGATGATAGAAGTCGCTATCGAATCAGTAGAAAAAAATACTACTTACTTTGTGTTAGGTCTCACCACAAGCTTTTCTAAAGGTTGTTTTGTCGGTAGTTCTTGATATGTTGATCATTTGTTTTACTGCGTTGATGACATTTATATGAACATTAACAGTTTCACTGGACAGCAAAAACAACATCGTTTTTTAAATAAATTATCTTTAAATATCATTATACTATCAATTTTGGTATCATCGTCAAATTATCATTTCAGATAAATAATATACTACTTACCTACATTACGATCAGAATCTGGCGTATAGAACAAATTGTGCATGCGTTGATATGGTTTTCGTTTTTCAACTTACATTTGGCTTCCTTATCCGAAAAATAATGATTGAGAAAAACAAAATGAAAGATATTTTATAAAACCCACGATCATTTATTATCAGACGCACTACCTAGTAGGAGAGACCATTTGCCCACTTGTAGACGTCAGGCAACCACGATAAGGTTAAACTTGGGGTAATACGTAAATAAAGTGGAAGAGGCAATGATGGTAGTGACTGATATGTTTAACTTCTTGTAAAAAATGTTTACATTTTTGTGTATGTTTGTACTCGTCGTGGATAAAGAGACTATACGGATGGTTTTGACAAGCCAACACGTAAACACTACAAGAAAACATGAGAAAAGCGACTACAGTTAACGACTACAAACATGTGGTCGTAAATTAACGTCTACTTTACATCCAATTTACGACTAATTTATAATTGGTTGTAACTTGGTAGTTATAATACGACTAATAGTATTAGTCGTAAAGAGGAAGGTAATTAACAACCAAATTATGACTACTTTTGGAGGGAGTAGTTAGTTGGTAGTAGTTTACTACTCCCTTACGACCAACATGGAATACTGACCCTAAGATGACGAGTGATCAAATTTGATTATACTACAGCGTTTGTGTTTTATTAATCTATTGTTAAACTCATTGTATTGAATTACAAATATTATATAACTTATGATGTTTGCCTAATTACGAACTTAATTAAAAAATTGGTTTCAAACACATGTATTTTTTAAAAAATAGTTTAATCTTTGTAGTTTGGGGTTTAGAATTGTATATAACTTATGATGTTTGGGTTTTGGGATTTGGGGTTTCGGTTTTAGTGTATAAACACAAGTCGAAGCTAATTAGTTGTAATACTACTACTCATTTACGACTAATAGGTAAGGGAGAAGTTAGTTGGTCGTAATTTACTACTTCCTTACGACCAACATGGAAGGGAGTAGTTAGTTGGTAGTAATGTACTACTCCCTTACGACCAACATGGAATACTGACCCTAAGATGACGAGTGATAAAATTTGATTATATTACAGCGTTTGTGTTTTATTAATCTATTGTTAAACTCATTGTATTGAATTACAAATATTATATAACTTATGATGTTTGCTTAGTTATGAACTTAATTAAAAAATTGGTGTAAAACACGTGTTTTTAAAAAAAATAGTTTAATCTCTGTAGTTTGGGGTTTAGAATTGTATATAACTTATGATGTTTGGGGTTTGGGGTTTCAGTTTTAGGGTATAAACACAAGTTGAAGCTAGTTAGTTGTATTACTACTACGCATTTACAACTAATATATAAGGGAGAAGTTAGTTGGTCGTAATTTACTACTACCTTACGACCAACATGGAAGGGAGTAGTTAGTTGGTAGTAATTTACTACTCCCTTACGACCAACATGGAATACTGACCCTAAGATGACGAGTGATCAAATTTGGTTTTATTACAGCGTATTTGTTTTATTAATCTATTGTTAAACTCATTCTATTGAATTACAAATATTATATAACTTATGATGTTTGCTTAATTAGGAACTTAATTTTTTTTTTTTTTTTTACAACGAAAGGCTGATCTATTACTCAAGCTTGAGGTAGTCTACGATTCAGCGCACTCGTAACAGCCACCTGTCCCGATCTTACTTGTTGATCCGCATAATCCTAGATATGAAGAACTTCCAGACGATGCAATTACAGACGACGCCAATGAAGATGAATTTGAAGAAAATGATGATGTCGATGATGTTTCTGAAGACGAGTGATCGAGTTTGATTAATTATGTTATCGTTTGTGTTTGATTATGTATTAACGTTTGTATTTTATTTTGTTGTTCACTTATGTTAAAGTATGTTTTAAATTTTAGTATAAATTTATGGCATTTGGTTTTGGGGTTTGGCATTTGGGGTTTGGGATTTGGGGTTTGGTATTTGGGGTTTGGCATTTGAGGTTTCCGAGTCATTGACGAAAAAGGTCTATTTGAAGCTAAATAGTCGTAATATTACATCAATTGTACGACTAAAGGAGTCTTTGTAGCAAACAAGTCGTAAGTCTACATCTAATTTACGACTAATTGTTGTAATGTAGTTGTTAACGTTGGACCCTAGTTAGTCGTAAATCTTATTGGTCCCTAATTAGTCGTAATTGTACGACTAATGTACTACCAATAGATGCTCATTGGTCATAAATGTACGACCAATGTACGACCAGGCCAAAAACTCTATATATACGAAGGCCTCGC